GAGGGTCCATGTCCTGTAATACACCATGATGCACACTGTGAAGGGATACATATACTCAAGAATGTGCTCTCACCGATGTCATCTGCTTGCACCATCCTCCTGGCCCCCGCGTACAGCTGACATTTTTGTTGTTTAAACTTGTAAGTGTGCTGATCCTCACAGCGGCGGGGGTGCTCGGTACTTACCGTTTGCAGTATACATAGTCATAGTCGACATTGGTCAATGCAAGGGCAGGGCAGGGCGGGGTGGGGAGACAGGTTAGGAGGGGGAGACGGAGGGGGAGGCGGGAGTATGCCGGGCAAGAGAGGCTATACCAGCTCATCCCAGCAACCCGCCTGTACCTAAGTCGGTTGAGGCGTGAGAGGGACCTGTTGATTTGCAGCCAAGTGTGTTCAGTCGGGCTGGCAGGTCATTTTCTGATGTCCATTTGTGCTAAAATGTTACCCGCTCGCTTAAATTGCACTCTCGTTTCACATTTGACTGTACATTGCTCTATTCTTAGTTTATGATTGCAATCTTGCTAGTCTTACGCCCAGGCCACAAAGGTTTACGCCCTCGCAAGCAGCCACATTGTGAGCAAGGTGGGTAAACACCTTGAGGAGCAGGCACACTGCACCTCAAGATATTCACCCAACTTAACACAGATGGGGCTGGACAGGTCACCCAGATAGCCATCAGAACATCTCGTACACCGCACCATCTTGTTCCGCAGCTGTTGCATCCAAATCGGCGCCGTGTATTCCTCCCGACAGTACTCAATTTGTCACCATCGGAACGGCCGCCGCAGCACCGCATAGCCCAGCGCACCTGCCATAACCTTTCTCAGACACGGCACGTACTTGTTGAAGTGCTGATATCGCCAATACAACGCTAGCAATACTGGGAAAGGCTTGAACGAGTGATGCATGAAGTGCGGGGGAAGAAAGACACGATAGACGCCGGATGTGAGTGCACCGCCGCGAAGAAATCCTTCCCGATTAGGAATGCGCGCGTGCGTCTTCCTTCGTTTCCACCACCACCTCCTGCGGCCGCGGCATCCCTCTTTTGGCGTGCAGCCTCTTGTTCGCTCTGAAACAGCGTATTACATCTGTCTAATGTATAGTAGAACATTTCTTGATCTGCGTGAACACCCATCGCTGTCAGTTCAAGATGCACAATCGGCCAGGACGCGGCCCCGCATACAGCTGCCCGCCCTTGAACAGCTCGTGCGGCTCCTCCGGTCCCTCCGCCCTTGCCTCTGCTTCGTCCGACACCACTTTCGACGACTTCGGCCCATCTCGCACGTGTCGAGGGGGGTAGATTGCTGGGTCAACCTTGCTGCTGCCCCGCCGCCTCCCGGTGTCGTTGCGGCTCGGATGCGGCCTCAGGCCTCCGTTCAGGTGAGTGGGCGCCGCAAGCAGAGGATTCTGCTTAGCAGCATCGTACTCGGCCTGTGAGATAGGCTCAAATGTGAGGTCCCCGCTCCGTAGGGCCTGGACGAGTATTGAGATCCGGTCCAGCCCGGTCACCGTCTTGCTCAAGTCACCGAAAGCGATCCCCTTCGGCCACCCGACAAGTTTGAGGCGGTGGCGAAGGTAGATGTTGCGGTAGAGGCCGCTCACTGTCCAATGCATCGACACCTTGGGGTCCACGTCGCCAACGCGCGTCACTGGTGAGTATGTGAGCATGCGCCACCTGTGCCTCCGGAGCCGACGACTTGCTCACCTAGTATGTCCTTCAGCCCTTTCCGTACCTCGCCCCGCATCTGCATCTCCTTCCGTGCGTACTGGCCGCGGGCGGTGTCTCCAAGCGCGTGGAAACCAGACTTTGCACGGCGCCGGCGAGTCATGCTGCCTTCGAGTCAGTCCGGTGAGCACAGTGCAACTCCATGGACGGTGGCCAGAACTGACAAGAATAGTTTGCTTACAGTAGAATGATGTAATCGGAGGGCAGCCGCAGGCAAGGGGTCACCATGGGCAGAACAACAGAGCCGAAATTAGGATGCCTTACGGCTGCAGGCGGGCACATGTGAGTAAAGTCTACATCATCAGACGGTGAGGTCCACTTACCTATCCAAGGACAGGGTATACAGGCAGGGACAGAATGCGCACACGAGTAGGGGCGAAATGTGGACAGAGGCTGCAAGTGGGAAGGGGGTAAAGAACGAATGGAGAGCACGAGCAGAGGGTGGTGAGTGTGTCTCCAGAATTGCGAAGGTACTTCGGTCCGTCCTTCATACAACACATGTCACATCACAGCACATGCCTGTGGCTCCAGACATACGGATCCATCACAGATAGGCAGGGTTGCTGCAAACGAGAGTGAGCGTCCCGTTTGGTGTGTCAAACTCGGGAGACGTGCTAAGCGGCGGATATCCTTTACCAGAAGAATCTCTTTGCCCCCGCGCTTTGGCGATCTTCGCGTCAGCATCGCTACGTCCCACGTTAGTCCGTTGGCGCTACACCACAGACCTCACCCGCAGTACCCCCTCATGATGTGATTGCGCCCTGTTTGGCCCACAAGAAGAGCGTCTCCTGCGAGCCCGCGCTATCATACAAGGTGCGTGGCTTATGGTCGCTCTCGTTCAACGTCTAGACCTGCTGCGGCAACTCGTAGTCGACTGGCTCCATCTTGGCCGTCCGCCCGAGCTGCGTCACTTCAGGATAAATGCCATAGCTTCCCGTCAGCCGCCAGCGGGCATGGAGGTTGTCCGGAAGGTGATTCCCGATATATCCAATGTGCCGCTCATACCCGTGGCACAGACACGGCACGGTGCAGTGTACATACTACGATATGATCCATTCTTCCATCTGTCCCGCCCCATTGTATAGCTTGTACCCGCGGTTGTAAAGCCAAAATGCGATATATTGAAGCATTCCTCGCACCGCAGGGCCGTCCAAGTCGAGGCGGGTCGAACATGACGGCGGCGCCATCCATCACTGAGGGCGAGATCGCCCAAGCACCCTCCCGCGACGGCGCCGTTCCAGAGTCCACGCGCCCGTAGTGCGCACAGGGGACGGTACAAGCTCGTTACGAGGCGGTACACGGGTTTCCACGACGAGTGCCGCCGTATACGCGGTTCGCGAATCTGGGCAAATGTGAGCCCTTGGCACAAGCGGAACAGCGAAATCCCTGCGCGCACTGTTCCGTACATCTCTCGCGCCGCGCGTAGCGTTCCTATACGCGCGTGTGTTGCGTTCGATGCATCGAAAGCGCCGCCGACATGCGCCGCTAACTGCCGTCGTATCCGGTGCTTGCTGGCTCCGCGCCAGAAATACGGTCATGCCGCGAGATGACCAAAATCAAAGTGTCCGGGCGCGCCCAGAAACGACGCAGGCTGGTACCGAGGGTGCCATGGGTCGTGTGTGCCAAATCTTGGAGCGCTAAGGGACGGGAGCGTGGCGGGACGCAAGATTTTCTGTCGTTTTCCTGTTCTTGCACATGAAATCGGTCGAAATCAGCGAAAACAAACCTCCTCGGATCGCGACGAAACGCGCGGGGGACATGCACCCTGGTTCATGGGAACGTATCGTCCTGGTTTGAAAGTCCTAGAGTGTGTCGTCGGAGCGCGAGATCGTCCACAAGGACGTCGGCCTGGGCACGGGCACCGTGCAGCACCCGCGTGGTCGACGTCTTCGTACAGCGTCAGCGTCGTCACCGACGACTGTGATGCCAACGCGAGGCTCCGGGCGTATGTCGAGATAGAGGCGAGCGCCGTAGCGGACAATGTCCGCATTTCTGTGCTCATGTCATCTGAGTATGGCGGAGTCAGCGGCGTGAACGCGCACATGAGCTAGATACGCACCGGACGCAAGCGCGGAACGCGGCGCCATAAGCTGCGACGAGAGTGGGGGGCTCGGGGTACAACTAACGGCGCATCGGGGACGTTTTCGCGAACATCTCGCCGCGAGATGACTGGAATTGGGCGTATTTGGACGCACCCGAGCGAGAAGGGCGAGCCGCGACGGCGACTGGCATTCTGCCGCTGCCGTAGTGTCAGGAGTAAGCAGCGTGCGGTGCCAATCGAGCAGTGCGCTATGCGCCCCGGAGAACGTGAACGATGTGCCGTGGCGTGCGGCGCATTTGGACGGTCTGCACCGAAGCAGCTTCTCGAGCCACTTGAAGCGACCCAGTCTCAACACGGGCTGCCGCACTGCAGAGTGCAGCGCATGGCATGTATAAGATGGAGACGCACCCTTGGTTCTTCGCGGGGGCGGCTCGATCGTAGGCACGGGTGCGTCTCGGAATTTGGTGTACCAGGGGCGCTGGTAATCTACATGCATGAATGAAAGAGTCAAGACTCGGATACACGGCGCAGTAGCTATGAGCGACGTCGGATGGAGTGCGAATAGGGCGCGCCAAACGTCGCAAACGCCGTGCAGGTGCAGTAGTGTTTCCCCGCCTGGTGAACGTGCTTCATGGCGCTTTGGGGCAGACGAGTTAATCGGTCGCGCCCGCGGCTTCGCCGAGCATGCCAGCCCTTGCGCCGCGACCTGCGCGGGGCTCCCACTGTGTCAAACACGTTCGCCGTGAGCTAGGGGCGTAGGAGAGCGAGACAACACGGGCACTCACCTCAGACGCATTCGAGGATGCCACGCACGGGGTGAGGATCGCGTCAGAGACGCGGTCGCGGCCCGAGCAATGTCCTGCGCACGCACGGATGTCTGTGCTTCCCATTCGTCGTACACGGCTCTCTCGACGCTGCCTCGTGCGCACATTGCCGTCGGCGCGGACCCGGCGCACGAGTCGTGTCCGCCGCAACACTCAACAAGTCCTGGACTACGATATGGAAGGTGCGTGAATTCTGCCGTCGTCGTACGTTAGCTACATAGCGCGGTACAGGTGCGTCCTGTCGTATGGCGGAAACGCTGTATCGGACTCGCCGCTCGTCGAGCAAGCTTTCCTGCAGCGTACGAGGCTGGGATGTGCGTAAAACCCGGCCCCGAGTTCAGCTCGTGTGACTCTAGTGTGTACGAGCCGGAACCCACAGGCACACGCAAACTGTCAACGCGACGTTGCATAGGCGATCTGCGCGGGATTCCGACACGATCAGCCGCTCTGGCAGTTGTTTCGAGGAGGCGGTGATGTACTCACCACGGCCAGGGGCGAGCTCGGAGTATCCCAGCACGTCGCAACCCGTCCCACCAGGCGAATCCGCCCGCGCTCGATTCGGACATGACGGCGTATCGTCTAGGTCGGTGCTTCACCCGAAACGTCCGGCGCGCCACCAAGCGCAAATAGACCTGCCTTCACCAGATAGGAAGCCCGGTGCGTCGAGGCACGGGCGCCGATGGACACTTGTGTAACGTCTTCTGAGACACGCGCGCCGCCCGCAAACGTCCGCCGCTGGTGCCATTGCCGGGCACGCCCCGACGACGTTGTGGTCCACCGATCATAAAGCGCCGTCCGATCAGCACGCAGGTCGTATCCACCGCCGCCTCTCTCCTGCGGCTGCGGCAATGGGGGCCTCGAACTGTCAGCCAATCGCGCGGATGTGGGGTGGCCTGAACGACGCAGGGGGCAGACGAGCCGGCACAGTGTTGCCTTGACTGGCGGACGCGCTAGAGGCCGTCCCATCCCACATATCCCATCGTACGAGTGCCCGGGGCCGCCTGCTGCTGCGAGGTCCGGTCGAAGGTGCAGGGCGGGATGGACACAGAGTCGGCCGGGGGAGCTGTCCGGTAGCTGCACAGGCAGAGCGTTTGATGACGACGGTGCTGTCACGTACGAACTACGATCGCCGTCCAGGAAACGGGCCCTCGTATCCCAAACAGGTTCTCGAGATCCTCTCGTCGCTGCCGTCGTACGATGGCAAATCACCGCCGCATCGTCCCAACATTGAACCAGCCGACCGCACATCGAAAACCCGCCTCCTCCGCGGATCGAAGGCCCGCCGCGCTCGCCTCTTCGAAGTGGGGCCAAGCGGCCGTGGATACAGATGCAGACGACGTCGGCTCGCCCGCGCGCGGCGGACCTGGACCCACAGCACGGGCGTGATACGCGCGCCCCTCCTGCCGCCAACACGGTACGCGGCGCACACGCACCGTGTCCGTCTGCACGCATCCTCGTGCGCGTGTCAGGTGGGGCGTGCTCCGTGTGCGTTATTGGCCCTGTACGCCTGCGTCCGTTTCCGCGCGACGAGATGGCGAGATGCGCGCGTCGGCGTGGAGACGTCGTGCACGGTGGCGAGCGTGGGTAGACGGCCTGGGATGCGTGCTGTGCGTCGAGGCGGCCGCAGAACGGCGCTGTGCGGAGCCAATCGCGGCCGATGTTCTGCGCTCGGGGGTGCACATGCGTAAGTCGTCACTCGAGACCGCCCCGAGCGGCGCCCGTCCGAGATGGATACAGCGGGGTCCATCGCGGAGCTGCCTGGCCCGTGCGTGAGTCTCGCGTATGCAGATGCAGACAGTCGATAAAAGGTGGGACGTACGGCCGATACCTCATCCCCCCACCTCCTCCCCCCACCTCCCTGACCGACCGTCAACGTCGATTCCGTACCCCAGTAGCTCTGGTATTGCTCTGCACCGACGCTCGTCTGACCGCAGCGAGGAGGCCCGGGCAACCTCTGCTAATTTGATGAGTGGCCGGGGTGCTGTCCAGATGACACAGTGCTGATGGTTGCGTGGTGGCGCTATCGTCGCAGCGCGGTCGTGTCTGTGTATGATGTGGTGCAGATCGGGCAGGTAAGCGGACCGGCGGGGATCATAGTACAGACGACATGCTCACCTCCTGCGACAGG